GTCCCACACCGCATAGTAAACCACCTGTTACCGAAGGTGGTAGCCAAAATCTTCCTGTGTACCATTTCAGTGATTCCGATTGGTTCAAAGACAGTTTGTTCGAAACCATCTTAAATGTGAAGGGGTACACATCAAAGCATATCACCAATAAATATCTGCAATAAAAAACGACCCAATTAGTAAAAAGGAAAGACAATTTTATTAAAAGAAAATGTTTTACTTACCAAAACAAAAAACAAATCAGTTCTTATGGTATCATGACCATCATAATTGTCTACATATTTCACACAAACCCAAAGAGGATGTACCTGAAAGAAAAGAAAACAATTTTAAATTATTCAGCACATCAACAAACATTTTCTAACTTCTTACCGGATTATGCAGTCTAAGCATCACCTTTAGCAACAAATTGTATGAATGTTTTGTCGCCAAGCACAGACTTTTCCACTGGTTGTAGGGCCATAAACAAAGGTCCAAACTACCTGAGGTGTTCCATTATGTTAACAGAATTATAAAAATCAATTTTCTAAAAATAAAGAAAATGAAAAAGGGTTGTAAAAATGTGTAAAAATTTATAGCAAAGATCTACTTACCAATGCTTAACATTCCGAAAAAGTTGCGCAATTTTTGACATCACATACATTGTGATGTACATAAATGTAAACCACATACATTGTGGTGTACATAAATGTAAACCGCATACATTTCTGCCAAGCCATAAAAATACCGCCAAAATGGATGTGTGTATCCATTCAAACAAATGAGACGGCATGAATGTACTTAATGGTTATGTGTGAATGAGTGGCCAGTGTAGCACACACACATATACAGGTAATATTACCCACGCCACTTTTTATGTTACACACACAGCTATGAATGATGGAACCCACGCCACTTTTGGCACCACACACGCACATTCAATTTTCGGACTAAAATATTTCTTATGGTTTTTCTGAAACAAGAAAAGAAGAAAATCATTAATATACTTCGATAAATTGTTCAATTGTGAATGCTTACCTGTAGATTTGCGTTCCACGCCGGTTTCCATTTCCATGTATGCCCATTCCTCGTGGACACCAGGATTCCAAGGGCTGGTCGCCCATTCATTTATATTCTCTCCTCACCGCAATTTTAAACAAACAAAAAAATATCATGCACATCACCATGTCCATCGATTCCTTGGCCATGTTGATGTTTTGTTGCATGTGAATATAATTTTTGTATAAAAATAAAATAAAAAAAACACAACCGGCAGCAATTATCCGAGATGATGTGTTTGCTGCTGCCGGCCAGAAAAAAGTGAGCCGGATACAGTAAGCTCAGTACAGCGGTTGAGAAATTCATGCGTTGCCATCTGGTCTGAAATTTAGGCCTGGCAAATACAACCCTGTCGAGATGTAGGGATCAAGAGGTGAGATAAAGGAAAAATGATAAATGTCGGAAAATGCGCGAGAATCCCAGAAAAGTGGGAAAATGGCATCTGGCTGCGGGGGTATAAAAGGCATAACGGGGGGAAAATTCGATCAAATTTATTTGGTGTTTGGTCGAGAGACTATAATTTATAACAAATTTTCAAAACAAAGAAAACAAAAATCCCCAAGATAAACAAAAAAATCCCCAAAATTTATTAAGACTTGTGTTTGTTTTTTATTGTTGAGTGCCTTATGTCGGCGAGCGAACAAAATAAAGTAAGTTAGTGTAATTCGGTAATATTTTATGTGTTTGAATGTTTGTGTTTTTGTATAGATCTCGCCAACATCCTCATCAACTAAAAAGGCAAGCATTGGCCCCTCCAAGTCGTTGCACGGAGGAGGTCATCCGATTTTTTTTGGGCTTATTCGGCGAAAATATTTATGTGGCATGGTTTTAGCCGTAGAATAGTTGGCTGGAAGACGGTTAAGCCCAAAGTGAAGACAGCACGCCAGCACAAGCTTGAACGCAGTTGGCCAATAAATTGATGTGTCTGTCCGTCCAAAAATCCTGGAAAAATAAGTATCTGGAAACCAGGTAACCATTGTTTTGTCGAAATTTAAATGCCTAGAGCCTGAGCGCCGAGAGATCTGAAAGTAAAACAAAAAAATGAATTAGTAATCAAAGACAAAATTAAAAACAAGCAAATCACCAAATGACAAAAATTTAAAAAAACCAAACAAAAATATATTTACTAAATTTTAAGTGTTAGATTAAGTGTGTTATGTGTTAGTATTTAGTGATTAATATCTAAGATTTTGAATTGTGAGAATTTTTAACGCCTAACAAATGCGACAAGTGTAGGGTTACCCCAAATATCTTATTGGAAACTTGCATTTGCCTATTTTGGGGACCAAATGGTAATCTCCCCAATAACGACTTAAGAGAGCTCTTTTAGGTGAGGTAATAGTATAATAGAGTGGCCAGAAGGAGCCGTTTCAATAGATTGTGTGGGTAGTCTGAAACAGTGACTTATCGATAGTTTTAGGTGTTAGGAATTCAGAATATTGACTAAGTGTTTATGTTAGGTTTAAGTAATCAAAAAAATAATGAAATTAATAAATATTGTTTATATGTAAATGTTTAGATTAATATGAATTGCTAGTTGTTTTCTGTGAGGGAGGAAGATTGGATGATGTTGCAGTAAGGTGAGTGTGTGTGGAATCAGGGGCCCTTTAAAATTAAGTGTTTATTAGGACGAAAAGGGTCAAGGTTGGGCGGGCGAAGTGCGGGAATAATTGACACCAAATTCCCTCGTTATGGTCGTATGTGTGTTGTCATTTTGTATTGTTGTTTGTTGTTCTATTTCCGTTTTCCTTCTTGATTGTTCGACCCCTAGGGCTGATGGTGGTAGGGTTGGGAATTCACCCCTAAAGCGGTGCCCCGACTGAGCTGGTTGGAACCCCACCAGGAGCCGCAGTAGGCGGTACGCAACACTGTATTTCTATAGCTTCAGATTGTATGTTCCCATACTGCAAAAATATCTTAATATTTTTTTTCCATATATCCGATATGTTATATGTATGTTCCAGTATCTTCAAGAATGTACATTTTTTACTACAACGACAATTTTTCGATATAATAAAAAAAAATGTTATCGTAGTAAAAAATATTAGATTCTTGTAGTACGTGGACAGACCAATTATTACAAAATGTTGTTCGTTTACCAAAAAATCTTATAAAAGAGAGTGAATTGAGAGATCAGATTTGACAGTTGTGCTACTGAGTATTTTCAAATTCTTAGTCTGCTTTTCCACAGGCAGATTTTTATTTGGCAAATTTTTTGTTTTCTCTTTTGAAATGTTCGCTTACTTTTCCATTAGCAAATTTTTCTTTGCCAAATTTGCGAATCAAAATACAAAAGAAAGATAATAAAAGTCAAAAGTGTTTGCATTTTAAAGATTTTTTTTAATATTTTTTAGTTTTTATAAATTTTATTATATAAATTGCAAAAATAAAAATTAAATTTCACATGCACAAATTAAAGCAACAGGTTTGTAAACAAAAGCCGGCTGTGTGTCAGTAAAGCGAATAGGTTCAAAAGGAAATGTCAACAAAATTGTTTTCAACGTGCACGGCAAATTCTGAACAGGCAAATTTTTGTTTTTCTTCCTCGCACCCCTCTCGCCTACAAACTCAGTATTTGCCAAATAAAAATTTGCCTGTGGAAAAGCAGACTTACAAGAAATATTTACTCCCTAAGAATTTTCTTGTACCATCAGCTGATATTTAATCAGTTTGACATAATCGTGTGAAAACGTAAACAAAAATGTTTTTACTTTTGTTCGGTTACTTTTGGCAATTTTCTCTCTTGAAAATGAAAAATTCGTATTTACTCTCTGCAAATTCTTACTGAGTAAATGTTAGTGGGAAAGTAAACGAACGAACATAACCTTACTAACAGCTGATTTCCTCATGTTTCACATACGAAAAAAACACTCATTTGCTGCAAGACAGGGATAACTCAAAAAACGCGATTTTCGAGATAATGATGCACGATTGTTCGCTATAATAACCCTCATGTTGTGTAAAAAAAGCATATGAATATCTCTTACACACTCTGATTGAGAAGTTGTAGAAGTTCCTCTGTCTCATATAAAGTGTGAGTAAATTGACAATATAAAACGCATTTTCTGCAAAATCGATTTTTTGATTTATGCCGGTCTTGCAGCAAATGAACGATATGTAATTACATGTTGTTGTTGTTTTTTTTTGTCTAAAAGCACCTTGGAATATATAGTACACATTAAAATTATTGTGTGGCCATATGTAATTATTACACATGTATAATAATAGAAGTTGTTGGAGATTTGTTGTTGTAAGTTCTACTAGTGTCAACTCATTTGACAGAAAAATGTAAACAAACAAACAAATTATCATCAAATTATTTTTATTTTGAAAATGAAATATTTTCGAATACTCAAAATAAAAATTGAAAAACATGAATGAAAATCTATCAAATTTATATTTCTATCGCTTCCACATCTTTCCTATAATGGAGCCATTGCCATTGCTGGGAGTAGCGAGTATATTGAAGAAAGATTTGCTTCCTCACTTTCCCAGCAGGCAGATTAAAATTGAATACGGGAGCACATTTAATAAAGTTTCAAATTGTGCGTTCCCAATTTTCCTGTTGGGTGATTTCTAAAAACATAATTTGCCAAATTCATATTGACACTAGTATTACGTTGGAATCAAATCAGCTGGGATTTGCTGTTACCTTTTATAATTGTACCATGATTATTACAGTTATTTACAAATGAGCCAAACAGCTGATTTGTGTTTGTGTGTCATGCCGCTCGCTTTGTAATTTATTTTTTTACAAGGGGGACGCAAGTCCTTCACCGGCTATAAAATAATAAATAAATTTACATTTGTGTTATTGTTTAATTTAAAATAAATTGTGTAAAATTGTTTTTAATTATTTATTCACGGCTAGACAAAACAAATTCTCCAAAAGAATTTCATTTTCCAGATAAATGCTCCTGACTAAACTTTTCCTAAACGGAATAACAACGGCACGAAGAAATATGGCTTTTTATGCGGTGGCAATAGGACGAGAAGTTGGAATTTTCGATACTTGGTAAGAGAACAAAGAGCACCAAATTAAATAATACAAATTAATTGAAAAAATTCAAACTTAACAACAGGGCAAAATGTGAGGAACAAATAAAAGGTTATCGCGGAGCAAGATATAAAAAATTCCCCACTAAAAGTGCCGCAGAAGAATTTATTAATGCCTATCACAAACCAAGTGTTGGCACAACAGCAACAACAACGACAGTTCCTTCAAGCTCCAATGCCAAGTGTCTGGTGGCGGACAAAAAAGAAGTGGCAGATTTTTGGCCACCAAGTGATGGTGACAGCTTTGATGAGAATTTTCTAACTGATGAAGATTTGGTAATAATAGCAAAGCAATCAACAAAGATTTTTATAAAATTCATGGGCTTTATTTTATTTCGTTTCAGATAATGGCCTTAGAAGAAGTTGAGGGTTTACCACAACCCAACAAATCGCTTAAACGCAAAAATGATAGTCAGGATTGTGGACAATTTAAATCCGGTAAAATTGGTAAATACGAGTCAACAGTGTGTGAAACGTCCGGTTTGGTACACATTGGCAAATATGAATTTAATATTGACTCGGAAGGCTATGTAATAGTCTATACAGATGGTTCGTGCTTTAATAATGGCAAGGCGAATGCTTGTGCCGGTTTTGGTGTCTGGTTTGGAGATAATCATCCACTGTAATATATAGTTTGACACTTAAAAAAATTGTATAACATTTAAATGATTTCTGTTGTTAGTAATGCTGGCAAACCAGTTGGCGGGCGTGTCACCAACAATGTTGGTGAAATCCAAGCCTCAATTTATGCCATTAAAGTAGCGAAAAATCTGGGCATTAAAAAGCTTGGCATTTCCACAGACTCACAGTTTCTCATTAAATCCATTACCATGTGGATAAATGGTTGGAAGGCTAAAAATTGGCGTTTGAAAAATGGCGATCCCGTGAAAAATGTTGTGGACTTCAAGGAGTTGGATAGTCTATTGAGTGATGGTCAAATCGATATAAAATGGGTAAAATCATTTAATGTGCTTGTCATTTGATTGCTATTAATGTTTGTTTCTGGTATGTTTTTTAGAATTATGTTGCCGGCCACAAAGGCATAAGGGGAAATGAAATGGCCGATCAATTGGCCCGTGAGGGTTCGGAAATTTATAAAAGATTACATTTGAAAAAATAAAATAAAAAACCTAAAAATATTGTATTTTGTTGTCTAATTAATTTTTAATATTAATAACTCCGATGTCTGGTTTTTTTATATTATATATTTTTTCTAAGCAAGCCTCCGAGGTGTGAATTAAAAAAAAAAATTGTCCTAGGCATGCCTCCGAGATTTCAATCTTTGAATTTGAATGCTTGAATTTTTTTAATATATATTTTTTTCTAGGCAAGCCTCCGAGGGGTGAATTTTTTTAAATATTTTTTTCCGAAACTCAGATCTTTTAAAAAATGTTTTCCTCCGACCAAACTCTTCGAAGCTTGATTTTTTTAATATTTTCTTTTGGTAATGTCTCTGAAGTTGTATATTTCCAAGCTTGGACTAAAAAATAATTTAATGTTCTCCATTAAATTACTTTTATTTGTTGGTCAAGATCAAGAGAATACACTAAAGACAATCAAAATACCTAAAATGGGACATGGATTTTTTAACACACCGAAATGTCGATTTACTATATAAGACCTCCAAAATACAACTAATGGGTCAGTATTATGTAGGAGTGCTATATATATCCCATTTTCCATATTTCACATAATCTATCCAAGTACATAGAAACGATATCGACCAAAATCCAATCCAAAATCCACCCACTTTTTAGCGCTAATTATTTGACTTTCCAATTTTAATTTCGAAAACAGCATTCCATCGACCATCCATCATCGAACTGTTTCGGAATTGTTTTCTACAAAGTAACAAAACAAACTCAATATTATTCGATTTCACTAGAATCACACTCTATAATCATCATTTTTTATTTAGTTGTTGACCAATTCAGTATCATGTTCTTCAAAATTAAATTAAAAACCATTCTTAAAGATATATTTCGTTTGTTTTCGCTATTCGTGGCATATATTTATTTCATTATCATCATTATTTTTTAAACTGGAATTCCTTTCCCAGGTGTATCGCAAAAAAAGAAAAGAAAAACAAACAAACATCACATGTTGTATGTATGTATGTGTGTGGAGTAGTAGTAGCATTTACCTATAATAGAACAATTAATTTATCGATCGATTTCACCGAACACAACATCCAAGGTTCCAATGATGGCGACAATATCGGCCAACATATGTTGACGACCGACATGATTCAAGGCAGCCAAATGGGCAAATCCGGGAGCCTTGATTTTGCAACGATATGGGCGGCTGGAACCATCCGATACCAGGTAGACACCAAACTCACCCTTAGGAGCTTCAATGGCTGTGTAAGTGGCACCAGGTGGCACCTGATAGCCTTGTGTAAACAATTTGAAGTGATGGATGAGAGCTTCCATGGATTGTTTCATTTCAGCACGGCTGGGTGGTGTCACCTTGTTGTCGTCTGTCTTGATTTCACCGGCTGGCATTTGGTTCAAGCACTGATCGATGATGCGCAAGGATTGACGCATTTCTTCGACACGGCACAAATAACGATCGTAACAATCACCCTTGGTGCCGATGGGCACATCGAATTCGACCAAATCGTAGGCATCATAGGGTTGTTGTTTTCTCAAATCCCACTTGATGCCGGAGCCACGCAACATCACACCACTGAAACCATAGTTCAAGGCCTCTTCGGCGGTAACGACACCAATGTCCTGGGTACGTTGCACCCAGATGCGATTGGTGGTCAACACATCTTCAACTTCATCCAAACGTTCGGAGAATTTACTGGCGAACTCGTAAATATCATCCATTAGACCCATTGGCAAATCCAGGGAGACACCGCCGGGACGAATGTAGGCGGCATGCATACGGGCACCCGATACACGTTCATAGAACTCCATCATTTTCTCACGCTCCTCGAAGAGCCAGAAGAAAGGTGTCAAAGCACCCACATCCAGGGCATGGGTACCCACAGCCATGATGTGATTCAGAATACGCGTAATTTCGGCAAACAAGGTACGGATATACTTGGCACGAAGCGGCACTTCGATGTTCAGCAATTTTTCCACAGCCAGCGAGTAGCACTGTTCGTTGCACATCATCGATACGTAGTCCAAACGATCGAAATACGGCAAAGCTTGGGTGTATGTTTTGTATTCAATCAACTTTTCGGTACCACGGTGCAAAAGGCCGATGTGGGGATCACAGTGCACAACCGTCTCACCGTCCAATTGCATGACCAAACGCAACACACCGTGAGCAGCTGGATGCTGGGGACCAAAATTCAATGTCAAATTGCGAATGGACTTTTCCACCGGTGTAACTTGATGATTCCATGGTGGTAGTTTCCATTGAGAGGTTATGTCATCTGGGTACATGACGGGGCCGTCGAATTGCTTTAGAAATTCGGGATCGGGATACCATTTTGCAGCACCACGTTTCTGTTGCCTGTTCAAAGCAGCTTGTCCAGCTCCAGCACTTGGTGTTGTGGCCGCCTTGGCCAGCTGAAGTCCAACGGATGCAAAACGCTTTGAAAATGCATTTACATAATACAAAGCCATTTTTGACGAGTTCTACCGAATACACCACACAACTATTGTCTGTATGTTTTTTTTTTTGCAGGGTCGTAACTGACAGATTTGTTCGTTCACTGACGTTTGTTGACAGTAGGAACGAAGAGAAACATTACGCAGCATTTACACGATGTGAAATTGAAGAACAAAATGTGATATATTTTATTTGAAAAAATTTCCAAAATTTAATTGCAAATTAATATATTTCCAATTTGTTTTTATTTATATTTAACCAACTATATTAAAACGTTCTTTCATCCGTTCAAAATAATCTAAACAAATTAAAAAATAATCTTTGGATTCTCTCGAGCATCACATCGTGTAAACATGCCTTGTAAATGGCAGATCATATGTTTTTAGCATTTAATTAAATTTTATTTGCAGGAGGGGGGTAGATAACATATGTTTTTTTTTTTTTGAATTGGATGGATTTTGTAATTTTGACATACTCAGAAACTGGCAAAAATGTTGGAATATCTAAAGGAATAAATTGTCTTAAACATTTTAGATTGTGCAAGAGCAAGCCGAGGAGCATCTCTTGGAGTGTTTGAGAGAAAAATTCTCTGGAATATCTATGGGCCGATCTGCGTCTATTCTCAGATATCGACATAGTCAGACGGATCAAGCTTCAGCGACTACGTTGGCTAGGCCATCTTGTGAGAATGGATGAAGATACCCCAGCTCAAAAGCCATATAAAAGCGAATCAAGTCATGTTTCACGCAGAAGGGGAAGGCCACGAATCCGATGGAAAGATCAAGTAGAAGACATCTCGGAGAACGGTCTTGCGCACAAGACCGACGTGTCTTGTAGAGTGTGCGTTTGGTCTGCCAAAAGGTGGCCTTGCTTACTCAGACCATAGTAGCATCTGTTGGCTAACATTATGCTCCTATGGATTTCAAAGCTGATGTCATTAGTTTTGTTTATGGTCCTGCTGAGGTATATAAAATAGTTCACTACCTCGAAGCTGTAGTTCTTAAGTTCCACAGTTGGCTCATTCCAGATCCTCAGGTTTCCATCGTCATCTCTACAGGAGGATGTACCTGCAACAAAGCCTTCGCTTTGGTGTTTTACTTGTTGAAAAAATTTCCGGATTTCATTCTGACATCTCGATTAGTGGATCTAGGGAGCACTGTCACTGTTAACTGGAGTATGTTGGTAAAGGGATTTTTTCGCGGGTCGAGTATGTCATGAGGTTTTTGATAACAATGCGGGTGAATTCTGGAATGCACCCGCATTGTTATGAGAAGTCAATGATCCGTATGAAGGTGATCCACACTCGACATCTGAACATGTACGGTAACAATTCTTAGAACACTATTTGGGATCGTTTGCAGGGTTACCTTCATATGATTTCGCTTGGGAACGTACAAGAGCTTGAAAACAGATTCTTGAATGCATCCACAGTGTGGATCGCCTTTATGAAAAGACAATAATCCTTATGAAGGTGATCTACACTCTTACAGAGCACTATTTTATTTTGTTACTCCATAGGATGTAGCTTGGAAATTTAAAGACAGTTTAATTTTTATTTGGTATCTGGAATGTATCCACAGTGTGAATCACCTTCATGAGAAAATATTCAAAATATGCGGTAGCAATTCTTACAGCACTATTTTGGATCGTATGCAGGTTACACCATGGGATGTTGTTTGAAAACTAGAATACAGTTGAAGTTTTATTTGATTTTAGGACTGTTGGTTTCTGGAATTCACCCACAGTGTGAAAGACAATGGATCCTTATGAAGGTGATCAACACTCGACATCGGTTACTCCATAGGATGTCGCTTTTAAACTTGGAGCTGAGAATATAGTTGAACTTTTATTCAAATTCTGGACCGTTGGTTTCTGGAATATAGGAAAACAATTAAGAAAAAAATATTCTTAAAAGAAACTATTATTCTCTTAAATCGTTTAGTTTTTATTTATAAGAACAAGTTAGGTTTAAGAAAAAATTACGATGTATATTTTTTGTTTATTTTTTTTTACTTTCGTATATCCTTTATCTACTGCAATCGAATTATAATTATTATTTATTGTATTTTTGAAATTGGCGAAAAAATGAGTACACGTTTACACACACAATAATCTAATTTAAATATTTTTTGTTGAAATTGTATTTCAAACCGTAACAAAAATGTTTTTGAACGAAATAAGTAGTGTAAGGATGGAAATAAAAAAATAGTTTGTCTTGTTGTTGTTGTATTCTTAAACTTATACTTAATACAATGATACAATTAACACTTTAAAACTTAATTTAAATGAAAGAACAAAAGTACACACCTAAGATATACAGGGGAGCAGGGAAGGGGAGGATAGAAAATAGGGAATAGTATAGATAGTAGAGCATGGAGAAAGAAGGGAGTACACACAAATATATATGAGTAAGAAATAGAACATAAAGAAAAAACACTAATCATCATAGTTGCTGTTTTTTTGTGTAAAAAGCTTAATTAAGTAGTTATTTAATATGGAGATGATTCGATTCAAATTTTAGAGGCAGTTGCATTGCATCGTCATTTCATTTTTGTTGGTTTGTTTGTTGCTGTTGTTGTTCTTGCAATAATATTATACACCATTTATCATTCAGTTTATGAAGTACCAAAATACTGTTTGCCTGGCCTTGCTTCTGTTTGCTTAGATCCATTGCTTTAAATTCTGGACTCCCTAATTTTTGCAGACAATTGCATTATTGTTGATTTTAGTTTTGCTTCTTCATCGTGTTTGTTTTTTTTTTTTTTTTTTGTAGTATATCTATATCTGTATATAGTTAATCGAATCCAGATTTTTTTTATATTATTAGCATATCATCATCATTGGAAGTGCTTCTTCTTCTTCGTTTTTAATAAATGCCTTTTTCTAGCCGTTCCTTGTGTAGTAGTGGTAGTGGAGTAGTCGAAGAATTCGTCCATAGGAATTTTTTTATTATCCATTCAGTCAAGGCTAGGCTACGCCAAACCCAAGTATTTTGTTTTCGCAGCTTTTTGAATTATTTAGGACTTACTTTTTTGCATTTCCAATGGAACAAATAAAAAATAGTTTTCTTTGCACCACCCACCCATTAATTTATTGCGGCGGTTGGTTACTGTAATACGAATAGGCACCTGGCGGTGGTCCTTGTGGCGGAGCACCTGGTGGTGGCATTTGTTGTCCAGCTGGACGATATCCCTGATAACCTTGCGGTGATGGCGGCGGATACTGTCCCTGAGGTGGCATAGCACCATAGCCGCCCTGCGGCTGATGATAACCATGCTGGGCATATCCACCGGGTGGTGGTGGACCATAACCTTGTGGTGGCGGTGGTGCCCCATAGGGTGGCTGTGCACCGGGTGGTGGTTGATACTGATTCGGAGCCATTGGTGGTGGTGCCCCATTCGATGGAGGAGCTGTGGTATTAGGTGGTCCGCTACCGGGTGGATTTTGCTGCGGCGGTGGCTGAGCATATGGTGAATTGTTACCAGCCACACTGGACGGTGGTGAAGAGTATGTCGCCTGGGGTCCAGTCGTTGGTGGTCCACTGTTGGAAGCCGGAGGATAATTTTGTGGTGTCTGTTGTTGCTGTTGTGAAGCTGTTCCAGGTGGTCCCGGCGGCCCGGGTGGTGCTGACGACTGTTGCTGTTGTTGTTGCCCCGCCTGTTGGGATGTTGGTGTCGGGCCAGCCGTGCTAACTGCACTGGAACTACTCGTTGGCGGCTGAGTGGGTGGCGGCGTTGATTGCACACTTGTTGCTGGATTTTGCGGACCGTTTGCACCGCTTACAGGTGGCTGCTGCTGATTGGGTGGTGGTGTTTGGCCAGGACTGGGTGACGAACTATAACCACTACCAGGAGGTGGAGCATTTGGATTAGGCGGCCCACCTTGTGTTGCATTTGAAGGCTGATTGCCTTGTGTCTGTGGCGGAGGTGGGCCTTGACCTGGATAGCCTTGTGGACCGGGCCCAGCCTGCTGATATGGTTGATAGGGTGATTGAGCTTGGCTTGTTGGTGGCGGTCCATAGCCACCTGGTGGGGCATTAGTTGCTTGGCCATAACTGTTTGGTGGTGGTGCTCCATATCCACCGTAACCCATTGGAGGTGGTGGACCCCCTGAGCTTTGTGGCGGTCCATATTGATTTGGAGGTGGACCTTGATTACCACCCGGCGGGCCATACATTTGCCCGGGGGGAGGTTGTTGCCCTGAATTCATTTGTTGATTGGGTGGTGGAGGATAGGCTCCCGGTGGTCCTTGTTGACCTGTGTTCGCGCCATATGGATGTTGGCCGGGTGGACCATTATTTCCTGATGTTGGCGGCATACCGGCGTGTCCCTGATAACCAGTTTGTGCATTTGGCGGTGGCGGTCCATAGCCATGTGTCGGCGGTCCATATGGATATCCACCCTGTGGAGGATATTGTGGTTGTTGCTGTGGTGGATAACCGGGATAATGGGTATGCTGTTGTGGTGGATAGGCTCCCCGATATTGGCTTTGCTGTGGTGGAGGGCCTTGTGGCGGCTGTTGTGGAGCTTGTTGATTTGGAGGGCCCTGAGGTGGTTGTGATGCACCTTGACCAGGTGGTGGAGCGCCCGGTGTGGGAGTTCCCGAATTTGGACGTTGTTGGCCTGCAAAAAAAATTAAGTAATTTTAGTTCAAGTCCCTGACTTAAAAAAAAAAGTTTTTTAATAAAATCGAGTGTAAAACCCACCTTCCTGGAAAGGTATATCATGGATATTTCTGTACTTACTGCCTTGATTGTTAGCATTAGCTGCCTGTTGTTGTTGTGGACCTGATTGCTGCTGTTGTCCTTGGCCAGGCGGTTGAGATGGCGGTCCCTGGGGACCTGGTCCTCTATACGGTCCCTGTTGCTGGGATTGTGGTGGCGGACCGCCTTGCTGGCCACCAGGACCTTGGCCAGGTGGTGGACCATTGGGTGGTTGGGACTGGCTACCGTTCGGAGTCATTCCGGGATGTTGCTGCGGCACTTGACCTCCATATGAAGGCATACCCGACGGTGGCTGCTGACCACTGTTATCATGTTGTTGTTGCATCGTCACCATGCCACCGGGCGCACCAGGACCACCCATTTGTGACTGGCTACCAGGCGGCGGTGGTGGTCCTCCTTGCAGCACAGATTGTTGCTGTGGAGGTGGTGGTCCTCCCGATCCCATCATACCATGTGGCCCCTGTTGCTGGGCCTGAGGCTGCAAAATGTGTGGTGGTGGCAAGATCTGATTTATATTCATTGTTGGATCCGCCAATTGGGCAAGATAAACGAGATTCCTGTGTAGCGCAATGTGATACGATGTACACTCATACGATTTACCCATATTCTGGAAGCTTTGTATTGTCTGGATAATTTTACAATTTTCATCGAGTATTTTCTGTATATGTGTGGGACTTGGAGGTGGAACACCACCACCATGTTGTCCGGCCGATGGAACACCCATCATACCTTCTGGGCCTCCCGATGGACCACCCATCACGCCCATCGGTGGTCCCCGTTGCATTTGTCCACCGCCCGGTCCACTCATGCCCATGCCAGGTGGCATACCGGGTCCACCTCCGCCCGGCCCCATCATGCCAACACCCGGACCCGGACCAACAACAGATTGCTGTTGCGGTGGTTGCATTGAGTTCGGTGTCGTTGATTGTGGTGGCTGCATCATACTTCCCGGAGGTGGTTGACCAGCCGCCTGGGGCGGTGGTTGCGGCGAGAAGACCGCAGTCATTTTACTGGCTGCGGCCTTCTTCTTCCGCTTGGGAGTTTTTTCCTGTTTTTCCACAATTTTGGCTGCTTTCTATAAAATCCGAATTGAAATTCAAATAGGTGGTTTTCTTATTTTAAAAATGCACCAATATTTTTCACAATTTCGTTTTCCGAGAACACAAAATTCGTCGTCCTATAATTACTGCTTTTCTTTGCTATCGGCTTAGCGGCTTTTTTCGCAATCGTTTCACGTCCGGTTTTTTCTCTACCAATAATTTTTTTATTTTTTCTTCGTTTTGAACAATTGCAATATTATGAAACGTTTTTTTCTAATTTATTTCCAAATAAGCAAACTTATTTTCAAAAACACTTTTTATGGCTTGCAATAAAATCAATAAAACATTTTCAGAACACTATTAAATATTTGCAAGAATGAAAATGACGCCTTTCCACGAGTGCCTTGCAAAATAGGGATGCATAATTTCATGTTCAACTAATCGATTAGTTTTTGGTATAAAATCGATTAATTGCTATTGTGCAAAACAATTTTGACGGCGTTGGGTGAAATATTCAGCGGCGATGCAGATTTCATGCATTTCGATTAAATTATAATTTACACGTAGCAGTTATGACTGGCAAATAGAAAAAATAGCAAACACAAAGGTCATATGTGGTCATATGTGTTACTACGATAACGAAATTTCCCTTATGATATCGAAGAAAATAGTAAAATCGAGTAAATTCTTGCAGCTTTACGATATCATAAATAACCAATTGTTATTGTAGTAAGAAGTAGTTGATTCTTGCAGTTTGGGAACAAACCAAATTTTTCTGTTTACATATGACTAGATTTGGTAAATCTATATACAACGGCATTTAAAATTAATACTTTATTATAAAACACTAAACGTAACTTTAAAGTTTTAGTAGATATTAAACCGAATATGTACATGACATATAAACACAGAAAATTACAACTTAAGAGATATTTAAATAATAGTTTATTATAAAACACTTTCCGATCTCATTTATGTATACAGTATGATTTAAATTCCAGAAAATTGGAATAATCTTCATGTCAAAACTAGCCTTGTGTTACACGCATATTATTTCTGACAATGATCGTACGCCTTCATAAATTCTCCCCCCAATATACTTGAGAACAATGTTGCCACCCTGAAATAAACAATAAACTATCATACAACGCCGTCAAAGTACACAAACGCGGCTCCATTCTTCTAATGTCAACAGTTTCATCCAAAGCAAAGTTCGTGAGCGGTGGTATTTTTTTATTATATGTGGATAGAGTGATCAAAATCCAAATAAAGCAACTATTTATTTGTTTATCGGATGAGCCAAAATAAGAAAAAGTTTTGTGACACAAAAGAAAAACAATAGATTCATGAGAGTGAAACATATCTATTTGTTTAAATCCAAAGAGTGAAACAAAAAATAATAGGTACTTGCTGCATTTTCAATTGAAAACCAATCACCGTCAACGTCAAGAAAAATAAAAAGTGCCATACAAGATGAAAAAATAAAATCAAAGAAACAACACACGCACACACACACACTAGACCACAGAGATAAGCCATGCCATGAAATGAGAGATACAAGAGGAAGAGTAAAACAAAAATTAGAAATTTCATAATTCAAATAAATAAATGCAATTATTTTGGACATTAGCCAATATAATACAAGATAATAGAAATCTACAAACATGAAGCGCAAATGTTTTCAAATAATATTTTGTTGTTTTTGTCCTGTATTTTTATGTAATTGCTTTGCTATCACTAAAAAAACGAAGAAGAAAAATCTATAGTGTATTATAGTTTAGCCGCTTTTTTTTTTGCTTCTACCTGCTCGCTCGTCGCGTTGTATCATTTTTTGTTGGGTGAGAGAGAGTGAGTGAATGAGAGATAATGTGTGCTGTGTGAAAATTGCATGCTCCTTCATGTTCTCAGTGCCGAAAATGCGAAATATGGTACATGCTATATATTGGGTTAAGGGTTACCATGTAACCATTTTTTGTAATTATTGCTGTTGTGTTATTGTAATCTGCTGAAGTACAGTGTTATAAGGCTGTAAATGATAGTCGTAACTCTAGTTTAATTAAAAACGACCAGATTTTTCTGATTTTTTTCCAGAGATAGGTATTTTTACCATAATTATAGGGATATATTTTTTTCTTGGGGGACGTATTCGGTTACTTGTCCCGGAAGTTCGGGTACGTGTGCCCGGTTCCAGGGATCCGGTTAATATAAAATGGGTATCATTTTAAAGCTTATAAAATTAATCTGACATATTTTCTAAAGATAGGATATTTTTAAACCAAATTATGGGGATCTTTTTTGTGGGTCGTACCCGGTTATATGACCCGGAAGTACGGGTACCCGGTTCTACAGATCCGATTAATACAAAATGGGTATTATTTTAAAGCTTATGAAAATACCATTCCATTACCTCTAACCATTTGGAAAATGCAGTCAAAAACTGAGGTTTAAATCCCGATTTTTTTTTAACTCCCTAAAAGTCGATCTTGGGTCCATATTGTCTCTCACGAATCCTGACTTAAATGATAGACTATAGTGTGCCCTTTCCAAAAAGGTGCGAAATGGAAAGATCCGTAGAACCAGGTACCTTTGAACAAATTGATAAGGCGTCTACCAATGTGGGTCTGGCAGTAAATGGCGGACCAACTGTGGGATTTGAGAACTATAGTTTCGAGGTAGTCAAAGATTTTATATAAGCCATAAAGCCATAAAAAAACAGTTTAAAACCAAGGTCACCTCCCGCCAGACTAAAGTCACACTCTACAAGACGCTCAAACCCACCGCGCGGTTATATGGATCTGAAGCATGGGTACTTACGCAAGCAGATGAGGCAGCTTACAGATGGTTCACGCAGCAGGGGAAAGACCAAAAATAAGGTGGAAAGATGAAGTAGAAGTTAACATATTGATATATCAAATTGAAAAAAAAAACTGCGCACAAGAGCTTGGCTTATGGTACAAAGGTTCCGTCATAAGCCAGCTAAGGAATGAATTTCAATAAATAAAAAAATAAGTAAGAAAGAACCGGGTACAACCGGTTATCTTTATCCGAACTTCCGGGTCAAATAACCGTCAACAGATAGAACTCGGCGAACTCCATGAAAACTGTACATCAACATGAAGTTCCCAAAGCCAAAAACCGGTTACGGATGCAATGAAGTCCTAAACCAACATCTCCCCGTAATTCCTGTAGGCAGTTAGACTACTTCCGGCTACCCTCTTCCAATAATAAAAATAATGAGCTTTGAAATTTTGCACAGAAATCGGTTTTTCCGGAAATATGGATTCCCAAAGTTTCGTTGGGACCTTGTATTTTCTCATGATTTTTAAAATTAACTACGTTTATACTTTCTGAGCTATCTCCAAAATTCCGCGGAACCTTCTTCAATTCTGTATGGGAGTTTGTGTATAGCCTTCGGCAGGGAATTTAAGACTTTCTCCTATGGATAGATGGTAACTACGGCTACGCGACCGAACCTCAATTTAATTAGAATAGTTGTTGGGGGTAGACGGCCTTTGGTCAGGGATTTAAGACTTTCTCTTATGGACAAGTGGCAACTGCGGCTACGCGGTCGCATCTCCTTTTTATTTGAATAGTGTTTGTGTGATCAGGAGTTCAAATGTTTTAAATATCCTAAAATACCGAAAATGTATACCGTTGTAATCGGGAGCCCAAGGACTACATGTGGTAATAATTTCAAAACGATCCTAGAGGGTACCCTAAACTAGACTTGAGCCCCTAGGGTGAATGCCAGCAGTACTTTTTTGCTATATTTCTTATATATGGATTCTCCGAACTATGTACCCATTATATCTCCCTGCATTATCCCCCATAAAATCACATTTATGTAAACATGGCTTAGGTGTCATTTGTTAACCCACATTGTAGGTATTTAATAAAAATAGGCAACTCTATACAATTCTTGGAAAGCGGCTCCTCTATAGTTTGTGTGTGTGCGTCGTGTATTTTCAATAGAATTTTGATGTGTTGTTTTTCTTTCTTTTTTTGTTATTAATAAAAACGTTCTCACAATTCGGGAATGAAATCAGTGAAAAAAAAAAAAAAACACTTTTATTCATAAAATTCGTTATTAAAATCCCCAGTTAAAATAATAATCTAATCGTGTAAATATATATTAACCATGTTTTTTTCTTCTATTGACTTGCTACAGTCTGACAGCCAGCAGACAGACAGAGAGCAGCATGCACAGTTTAGGCGCGCGCTCCTCTGGTATAGAAACAATATTGGCTCGCTGGCTGGCTGGGTTTGCTCTGTTCTGCTCTTCTCTCTTTTCAATTGATTCTTTTATTTTGGTACATTTGTTTGTGTGTTGCTGTTTTATTCTTTCTTTTTATATTTTCTGTTTCTTGATTATCTCCGAAATAAATCATTAAACTTTCCTATATATATTATTTCACATTTTAGAGACAACAACAACAATAATAATAATTATTATAAACATCAACAAATTATTTCGGATGTTGTCGTGGTCATCTTCGTCGTCATTTATAAACAACAACAAACAACAGGCATTTGAAATCATCAACGGATTTCTTTGGACGATTTCTATTTGAAAAAGAACTGTTAAAACACAAAACAACAACAAAAATTATAAACAATTACAAATTTTGTGAGAGATTTGTTAACCCCCCCAACGCATACATACATACACAGGCAACTACTGTTTATGCTTTAATATCAAACAAAAGCAAACAAACAAAAACAAGATATTTATGTAGTGCATTGGTAAGTTGCTATCTTACCAATGTTTTCCCTCGTTCAAATGAAATTCCGTGCATTATTGGTACTATTATCAAAAGTATGGACGTGCATATGTTTTATGTTCAACCGTCAAGTCAGAGCAGTAAGTACTAGGTTTAAATAATTGCATTACTTACTCACAAATATACATATATTAACATCAATTGATTATTACAGAAACTATGTGTATGCTATGCAGAATGGTCCGTGTGACGAATTTTTAGGTTTTCGACTGTCAAAAAGGTGTAAACGTCGAAAACGTCATATACCTGTATAAAATGTAATAAATGTAGTAAACGTTATTTATTTGAATATCATTACCATATATAGGTATTTTGTAGAATATATATCATTTTTATATATATCTGACTATTCCTTACTGGAACTGATCAACAATTCCAAACTTTTTGGATATGAAAATTTTGAAATTTGATATGGATTTGAGTAAAGCATACGTAATTTGATAATTTATTAAAGGAAACAGCTATTTTGTCAAAAAGCTAATGGTTTTGAGTAGGTTTCAATAAGGATTTACGTCACTGTTTCTGACGGACCATCTCTGATGCTATGTTGTTGTTATGATAGTCAAGGACAAGGTCAAGATAATATGCAAACGTCCCACGGGTCTTTAGGAAAACCAATTGGACTATTTAGAGACCTTTATAAAAGCCAATTGGTCTAAATATGGAGATCAATGGCCAAAGGTCGTTAGAAGCAGGCCAATTGGTCTGTATATAGCCTTTGTACAGGCCAATTGGTCTGTATAGAGATCACAGGTTATTATACAGAGTGAGATAAAAAAAACTGTAACCAAGTCAAACGTCATAATTTTTACATTTTTTTTAATTTTATTGAATGAGAGCAAAAATTTCGGAAAATGTCATCAAATTTTAGAATAAGTTCAGATTTGTTCGAATTGGTCACCTTTGGCAAAAATTATGGCCTTCAAACGGTAAATGAAACCGTCACACGTTACCGAATGTTGGTCTGCGGTATTTTGGCCCATTCCTGGCGAAGCGCTTCCGTCCAACACAATAGCCCAACGTGTTGGTATCCGGAGATTTTGGTGGCAATTATGCAAAGGAAATGAAGTGAGGAACCTCATTTTGTAACCATTTTTGCGTGAAGCGTGCTGAGTCCTGTTGGAATGTCCAAGTGTTCACGATATTATTCGTCATTTATTCTGATGTCACGGTCGATTAATCCGAGCGGAGGGCGACCATCGCCTGTTATGGCGGCCCACACCATCACCATGACCGGCGATTGAGTTCTGGTGGCCAACCGAAGGTGCACATTTTCAGCTGACCTCTTTGGCAAGTAAACACGATCATTTTGTTTGTTTATAAACTGCTGGACAACGAATGTTTTCCCATCGGAGAAAACCAAATTTGGAAGTTCACCACTTTTGGCCAATCGAAGCAACTCTTTAGCTCTTTGAGTCAATTTTCATTATGTTGCGGTGTAAGTTCTTGAACTTTGTGGAATTTCAATGGCTTTACCCCGAGCTCATTTTTCAATATTTGCCGAATGGAATATTGCGATATGTTCAGCTCACGAGCAATTTTTCGGCCACTGCGACGCGGTTTTCGATCAAGTCGCTTCTTTACTCTTTGAATCATTTATGCTCATGTTGCTTTTCTTTTTCTTTCTTCCGTACACTTCCTTGACGTCGGCCAACGCTTTCAGTATCAAGGTAAATAGCAATGGTACGAGACACAAAATATTTATTCATATTTAAAAAAAATTGCGGATGTGTCCATTTTGAACACCTGTTTCTATATGAACATGTGTTCATAAGAGAGATGGACGTTTCCAAAACTCTTAACTTTTTTCTTTTTATACCGCGCTTTTTGTGCTAGGCTAAGAACTTTCCGAACTGCCCTCGTATTTTCCAACCGTGTATGTATGTATTTTTATATTCTGTCCATCCAAAAACAATCAATAACCGGCTACCTTTTGGTATAGCTCCCATATTAAATAACCTCCAAATTTTTTGAGTTCTCATAGAGTATTAAATCTTCCTACGAAAAATAAACAATAACGGACCACTTTTAGTTATAGCCCTCATATAACATAACCTCATACGTTTTGATATTTCGAAAATTATGTATGTATATATTTTCCAATCGAATTGCCTGCAATTTGATGTTGTTGGTTTTCATAGGGTAGAAAATATAAATTTAACAAAAAAAAAAAAAAATAAATAAATAAAACCATATAGGTCTACCTTTAGGTTAAGCCCCCCATATAACGCCCTTCACATCCTAATTTTTCTTTTTTTTTTTGTTCAATTTTCTATATAGAATTTTTATAATTTGCCCTTCCACTATCTTTAAAAAATTTTTATTTATTTATTAGTTTAGATTTTAACTTAGAATGATGAGGGTTAAAAAAAATTTTTTTTTTGTTTTCTTATCAAATATTTTCTATATGCAATTTGATATCAATCGCCAATTTCTTATCAAATAATAACCGGCTATTCAAAATTTTTCTTCAACTACTGCTGCCTTTAGAATCATGACAACACTACATACACACACATACATATATGTTTTTGTAATATGAAAATTGATCATCATATACAGTAAAACCTAAATTATTTAATTTATTCCATTTTTTACTGTATACGATATATGATATTGTTGTTTGTAAACAACCCCATTAAATGTTTTGAGAAAAAAGTATAAGAAACACTGATATGAACCACTTTAGTTTGTCCAGTATCAACCTGTCAAATATGAACTGTTTCCATTGTCACCGGTGTCACGGCATCGCCTTAGCATTGTCCAACGGAAGACATTGGTCTTGGATCTAGATGAGACCCTAATACATTCACATCACAATGCCATGCCCAAGAATACCGTGAAACCCGGTACACCACATGATTTTACCGTCAAGGTAACAATCGATCGGCATCCGGTGAGATTTTTTGTGCATAAAAGGCCGCATGTTGACTTCTTTTTAGATGTGGTAAGTAAATTTAGTGGTACCCTCCTTACCTCTTTTATTAAATATAATTTTTTTTCTTTCTTTTAATCCACCCATCAGGTCTCACAATGGTATGATCTGGTTGTGTTTACAGCCAGCATGGAAATTTATGGTGCAGCAGTTGCTGACAAATTAGACAATGGCCGTAATATATTACGACGCCGCTATTATCGTCAACATTGTACACCCGATTATGGTTCATATACCAAAGATTTATCAGCTATTTGTAATGATCTGAATAGGGTAAATATTTATGGTACATACAATTGTGGTTTGCGTATTTTTAAACTCTTTTTGTTTTCCTTTTCTGCTTTTTTTGCAGATATTTATAATTGACAATTCTCCAGCAGCATATCGTTGTTTTCCCCACAATGCTATACCCATTAAAAGTTGGTTTTCCGATCCCATGGATATTTCATTATTGTCATTACTTCCAATGTTGGATGCCCTAAGATTTACAAATGATGTCCGTTCAGTTTTGTCAAGAAATTTACACTTACATGGTTTATGGTAGCAGGTAAATTAGCAAATAATAATTTTGTTTTTTTTTTCTTTCGACCAAGGTATATGTTTACAAGATAATCGCATCAGCGTAATGGGAGCATGATATGTCCAAATCGAAAACAAAACAGAAAATACAAATCGATAGCTGACATCTCTTGGAACAAAAATAAGGAAAAGTTGATAACGACATAAAACCATATTGTTCTATATATCTAATTAAGCCGACCGAAGTTAGGACTGCCACAGGGATAGAGAGGAGGTCATTGACTTAACCATCTCAAAATTAGCAATTGGAGAGTATCTGATGAATGTTCGTTTTCGGATCATTTGAAGATTTTCTTCGAGGTCTCTTTTGACGGAGGTAAACAAAAGCCTTATAGAAATCCCAGGAGAACAAACTGGAAACTGAACTCCCAGCTGACTCTTAATACAAACAGCTTGGGAACAGCTTGGGAACTCAATGGGGACATGAACAATCTAACGGACGTCCTTTCCATAAGGAATCCTGTCCGCTAACATACCCTGGGAAAAAATCTCGGTCATTGTGATGGAACAGGGAACTTGGCGAGCTCAGGAAAGCGACCTGACGACTGTACAACTGGGCGCTTAAATCAAAACACGATGTTGACCTATAGAGCTAGTTTCAACAAATACAAGATTGAGATCAAGCGTGCAAAGAAAAAGTCTTGGATAAATTTCTGTGAGTCGATAGAAGGTGTCAACGACGCTTCTAGGTTTCGATGATTTGCTATCGAAGGATCCGAAATCCATCAGGAGTATCAAGAAACAGGATGGGCCGTGGACGAACTGAAACTCATTTCCCATGTTGCAAAGATCTGGATACCATCGACGGTGAACGTAATGACACTCAGCCTCCCCCGACTCTGAATTTGAATCTCATTGGCAAGGTGGTTACCAGAAATAAGATACGCTGGGCAATCAATACATTCAAACCTTATAAATCGCCAGGACCAGATGGAATCACACCGGCGATGCTTCAATTTGAAGATCTGTTTGACTCTCTTGAAGAAATTCCAGCTAAATGAAGAAATAATATAGCTTAATCAACAGAAGTTCCTCCATGAGCAATAATTGAAGATAAAGACGGGTAAACAGTTCATCCTGTCGCAGCTCCCTTTTCTACTATACTTCTAACTAATAATAGAGTTAAAGCAGCAGATAAAAATAAAAAACTTATATTATTTATTCGAGGAAATGGTATAACAGGAGCTCCTAACATTAAAGGAACTATTACAATGAATAATGAAATAAATTTATTCAATTGCCCATCCAAACCAATCTTCGACCGTAAACAGACTACATTCTTTAATACCAAAGCCTCCAAGGCATATAAATAGTATTATCGTGCTGCTAAAACGCCATCCTCAGCGAGTATTTGTTCACGATGTCATCTTTACGGAGTACGGAACTCCACCGCAGTCTCCTCAACGGCAGTCCAATACTTCAGTACTTAACACCGCACATAATTTCTGCAATGTAATTTCAATGGTGCTCTCGAAAAAATAGACGAGATAGAAGATTCATGAATCGGAATAATATCTTGGTGGCGGCGGTGTAGGAAACCACCAAATTCAATGAAAATTGTAGCCAATATCGTTGTGATGGTTCTGAAGAAGGATAGCACCAGAAGTCAAGGTGGGAGCCTAACCATAGGAATGCCAACTGGCAGGGATTAAAAGAGTTCACCAAACAGCGCTTTAGAGAACTTTCCATTCCCTTCCGCTAGTTCTTTTAACTGATGGTCGAATACCCAAGATGAGTCCAAATTTCGCAACTGAGGCAGTTGGTCTAGCAAATGAAACGTTGATCTAACCCAGCAGATTCCAGGGCCAGGAAACCCACACAGAATAAATGGTTGGAACATCTGAATATTCGCATCATCGGAACCGTTGTGAATATACTGTGGGAAACGTTTAATTCGTTGTCGAGCCTGGTATAAAGGATAATATGACCTCAGTCACATTTAACGACGAAATTGTGACTAATCCGCAAGTTATTTTAACCGACAGTTTGTTCACGTCCCCCTGACGGCATTGATATCGTTAGGCATGCTGAAGATTGATTGTACGGTTGAAAGCCTATTCCTTCCTTTATAGTGCGTTTACATAGTACCGGATTTAGTTAACCCAGTGGGTTTTAATTGTCAATTCCATTGCCTATTTGTCAAATAAATCCTCATAAAGTAGGTTAATCCTGCAAAAAGTTCCAATGTAAATGCCGTTTTATGATATCGAAGAAAATAGTAAAATCGAGTGGATTCTTGCAGTACTGAAACAGAACCATTATTGTGACATATGTTACCCATGATGCAATAAAAGGTGATGTATCAAAACTAAAACCTTTGTTTTTGTCTCGACCATCTGTCAAATTTTTCCTTAAAACATTTCACATGGTTGGCAAGGCTGCATATCGAATTCAAGTAGAAATTACCCACTTTGACAGTTAACCGAGACATCAGCTGCGCTAACTGGACTACCTATTTATTGTGCCATGATACCATAAACTTGATGCATTTATCTCCATAATCTACCTTGGATTTTGTTTTTTCAAAAACTTTTACTCAACTAATTTACGTATTTCGTTTTTTGTTTTCTTTTCTCCCCAAACAGATTAAGAAATTGAAAATTTGGTGCTGTGACACTTGAACGAATTTTTGTTTGTTTCATTATATATTACATAATTATTATTTTTTTAATTTGATTGATTAAAAAAATCATTTTGAAAACAAATGAAAGCAAAAACTATATTTGTTATTTGACTAAATTATTATTATTACTTTTTTTGACTTGTACTATATTGAAAATGGTACACATGATTATACATAAATATACTATATCTAAAGAATAAAAACACATCCCTCCTTCTTCCTTCTTATTCCCCAAAATACTTATCATGTTTACGTTATTTAAAATTTATTGATTTTATATTAACGTTTAGTATATAATGCACATATAGTTGTAAATCAAATTCTGTAATAAGTTTCTTAAAAACAAAACAAATACATATATATTAGTTACATATACTATATGGGGCATTACAAATTTATTATAATTAATTATATATATTTATACATATGTATGTATATGTTTAAGTATGTTTTGTAGCTTTTGGGGTCCCATTTTCTTATTTTTTTGCTTCTTTTCAAATTGCTTTGATTTCGCGTCAATTTTTTGTTTTGTAGTTTTTTTTTCTATTTTTTTTTTTTTTGCCTGTAAATTCTTTTGTTTGCTTTGCTCTTAGCGCTTTCAATGACAATCTTCTTTGTTGTATGAAATTCTTCCCTAAGATATCGCGAGTATAAAACAAAAATAAATAAAAAATATTATTAATTTATTTATATATGTATGTTCATTTGTAATATTTTGTATGTGTTTAATATAATTTTCAATTTTTTTCCTTATACAAAACAAAAAAATACAAAATAAATTTAAGCCATCTCTCGTATATAAGCTTTGACATAAGAAGTCATAAATAAAGAAATTAGTTTTAAGAAATCAACTGGTGTTTTTTATTCATGCTGGCTTTAAGTGTTATTCGCCGTGGAACAATCGGACTACTGTTGTACGCAAACCTGGTAAAAACCGTTTTTGTTTAGATGCCACGAAGCTGAACGCATTAACTGTCAAAGACGCCTATCCACTGCAGAATATGGACGGGATCCTGAGCAGAATAGATCAAACCCATTTTATAAGTAGCGTTAATTTAAAATATGTCTTCTGGCAAATTGAGCTGGAGGATGATACAAAACCTTATACTGCATTCACAGTACCTGGATGTCCCCTTTACCAATTTCGGGTAATGCCGTTTGGGTTATGTATCGCGACACAACGTCTTTGCAGATTAATGGATAACTTAATACCAGCTAAATTGAAATCAAATGTCTTTATATACCTTGATGATTTATTGATAATAGCCGATGGTTTTGACAATTACATCAGACATTTAAATGAGGTAGCTGAATGCTTACAAAAGACAAACCTAACAATCGGGTTAAAGAAATCCTTGTTTTGTTTCCAAGAACTGAAATATCTTTGATTTATTATCGGAAATGACACACTTAAAACCGATCCAGAAAAGGCCAGTGCAATCCAAAAAAATCCTGTACCAAAAACACCTCGAGAAGTGAGAAGTTTTTCCCGCGGTACAGACGATTTATCAAAGGATTTGCCTCAATATCAGCTGCGCTCACGGATACCTTAAATAAAGGTGTGAGTGAGAAGTTTTTCCCGCGGTACAGACGATTTATCAAAGGATTTGCCTCAATGTCAGCTGCGCTCACGGATACCTTAAATAAAGGTCAAAAATTTACAATAACTCCTGAAGCCTTGGAATCATTCAAACCCCTAAAGCGTTCTCTAACTTCAGCTCCTGTACTTCGACACCCAGATTTCAATAGACAATTTTTTATTCTATGCAATGCACGTGAATACGGTATCGGAGCTGTATTGTTTCAAAAGAACAACGATAGTGATGAAAATCCCATCGCATTTTATTCCCAAAAACTAAATGCAGCTCAAAGAAACTATTCAATAAAGGAGAAGGAACGCTTAGCCGCAGTGCTAGCAGTTAAAAGATTTCGACCTTACGTCGAGCTAATGAAATTTACAATTATTACTGACCACGCCAGTCGCAAGTGGCTAATGTCACTTCAACTGCAGGCGTATGATTTTACGATCGAACACACAAAAGTGTCAAGGTTGGGTGGGCGAGTGTGGGAACCCAGGGCTGACGGTGGTTGGGCTGAGAATCCCCCCGAAAGTGGTTGCTCTGACTGATTAGCTGGAACCCTACCGTTGCGCCGCAATAGGTGGTCTATAACAACGTTCAAATTTTTGACATTAGACATGAGAAAAATCTGCTGATATTAGCTTGCTGAGTTAACTTATTACTTTGTCTTCAGGTCACATACATCTGAATGCTGAATATTACTGAAGGAAATAGCAGGGAGATTTTTATTACTATTTGGAACCAGATAGACTCTTGACTGTAGATCATTACGGCTTTTCTAACCATATAGAACGCCTATTCTACCTCATATTATAGTTTAGTGATGTGTGTTGCCAAATGCGCTATTCCCGGGAGGGAGAAATTTCACTGTGAACGATTTATTCTGTTATTCGTAGATTCTTACAGTGTATTGAACGGTAATGAGTTATCCAGGCACAAATTTTCTCAAATTCTCATTAGATTTCCCTCTTTTATTCAGAATAACTAATAAGCCCAATTTCGAAGTTAAACGAGTATTTATTTCACATATATACAATGGAAGGGACTATTTAAACCCACTAGGTTAACAAAATTCAGTACAATGTAAACGTACTATTGGTTTAAAATAGGTCGAATTGGGGGGAAAATTCAGCTTGGAAAGAAAAACTGGAAAACCAAAACAAATTTCAAAACTGTAGATTTCAGTTTCTGTTTGCACTTTCTTCCCATATTTTGTTAGCATTTTTTTCCATCCGAGATTAAATATTTGGATTTACGTCGAAGCGTCACATGGATGCATGCAATAATCCTATTGTGTTAATAAGTCCTTTATTTCGCTATTATTCTTTGCACTCATTCGTAAATATTTTGGTAAAATGAACAATTTTGTTTTGTGTTTATTTTTTTATCGTCAAATCTCTTCTGTACCCCATATTCGCATTGTCGTATAAGGAAACAGTTCCATCAGTTCATTTACGTGAATTGATGAATCAATTGAACTAATCAATTGGAGTGAATTAATTCTTCAACTTTTACTGTTTTAATTTATATTCTAAAACACAAAAATATCGAGTGTATATTGAAAATGTGAAAGAAGAGAAAACAGAAAAGCTGAAACACACAAAAACTACACAAGATAATGGATACAACAAATCAACGAAATAAGAGGCCAACTGCAAGAGTTTCAAAGGGATCCGCAGCAGCAGCAGGCGATGCAATGGAATCGTCACCACCAACTAAGGCCGAAACCAGTGGCATTGAATGCACAGACGTTGCAGCCTTGGCTATTTCTCCTACCCCCGAGGGTAAACCCAATCCTCCGGCCATTATACCCATTTCGGAATGCCGTAGAAGTTCGCGTAAGAAAATCATGAAATTTGATGTAAGAGATTTGCTAAATAAAAATCGAAAACCTCATAAGATACAGATTGAGGCTAGAATTGATTCAAATGTGCCGTCGACATCGAAATCTGGTGCCGTGACACAGGTTCCAGGTGGTGAAGCAAACAATAGCAATGCTAGTTCTGGTTCGGCGGCAGCTGGTGGCGCGGCTGCGGATTTGCTATCCAAACAGAAAACATTTATGGAAAAATCTGCCATCTTTAGACGCTATTCCATATCACAAGAACAAACAAAACCACCACCGCCACCCATACCACCAATGCCACCGGCAATGCTAAGTAAAACCGTGGGCGATAAAGACAACATTGCCACCAGTGCAATATTGAAACCCAAACAGACGACCAGTTTAATTGTGGCCCAAATGGAAAGTAATGTTCGCAAATCGGTAGACGCGAAACGGAGATTGGTTAGTAGTAGCAAATCGAATGAATGTGAGACCAAAGCCGCCGGGGATACTTCAGTGACAACACAACTGCAAAAACGTCGAGGTCGACCACCCAAGCAACAACAACGCCAACAAGAAGATGGGGCGGAGGAGGAAGGGGCCGGCGAAGAAGAGAATACATCTCTAAAGTTAACTCCCGAAAAGGCCACAAATTGGAGGGAGTATAAAGCATGTTTGGCTCAACACATTGACTCGCCAGAAGAAGGGGGCAACGTGGTAGTAGCCAATTCAATTTCGAATGAAATGGACAATGAACAACATCAATTGGAGAAGAAATTGTCAAGTGATGAAACGCCATCAACATCCACGTCTGAAGATGTTAATACACCATTGAGCACAGCGCCGCCGCCATCTATTTCGTCTGAAAAAGAATATAAATTAAAAAAGACTGATGAAACATCAACACCTCCAGTTTCACCAAAGAGTGTTCCCGATGAAGGAGCATCTAAAAAATTCCAAAGATGCATAAGTCTAACTGATTCAGAAAAATCTGAAAGAGAAGATCTCTGCAGGAATGTTGCAGCTGCTGACGAGACTGGAATCACCTCGCCTCCACACAATGAAGATGATGAAGGAGAAAAACCTTCCACTACTGGCGGCAAGAGATCTCAACGTATACAACGTAGAAATAAACGAGGAGGAGCCATGGAAGCAAAAACAAAATTGGAAAATAGCAAATCATCTGTAGAATCTAAATTGGAATCTGTTGAATGTCGTCTACCTTCCAACGACGAAGAAGAGAGCAAACAGACATCGAATATAGGAACGGATTCGAAAAAGTCAGATGAAACAGAAGTTTCTAAAGAGAAGACTGAAAATGAAGTGGCCGCACCAGAGGTCTTAGAGCTCTCCAAGGCTGTTGTTGATGTTAGGCCTTCGGAAATTTTGCAAACGGCAACTGAGCCCCTTCCTCAGGAAGTTATATCCCCGGAATGTGATGAAGTTGGCATAGCGGATGCAACGTCGGACAAGGGGAAAGCACAGCCCATTACAACTATGGTAATTAAAGAAGCTGTAACTGAAGAAGCCATTGCTCCTGCCAAGCCGCAAAGCTCCACAAAATCGGCATCAAGAAATAAAACACGATCGCTGCCCACCAC